GTTGGACTGCAGCTGAGATGAGTCCCTGCTTGGCATAGCCAATGGTGAGGGATGCGAACAGTCTTCATCCAGCAACATCTGAAGGGCCACAGCTTCTCCATCTTTGACAACAAGCCATACTGCATTTGCAAGTATTTTAAAACAACAAATCTTTGCTGTTTTAGTCCCAATAACATTTGACATGCAAATACAATGTAGACTGATCCCACATGTTATGTAATCTACGTGTGCATCAAAAACTACAGCATAATGATATAAAATTAAGCTCAGTGAACACAATTCATTCAATGGATTCCAGAAATAATTACCAGGGGGAAATGTTTCTTTTTTTGGGGGAGGGTTACTTTTTATTGAAAATTGACAACATTAGAAAGGTATCAAGCTCAACAGTGCTGGTTCTTTCGTGTGGGTCATGTAAATAGATACTGAGTGCAGCTGTCAAATCACAATTCTTGTTTGTAGAGAGACCAAAAACAAAAAATAGAGAGAAAAGACAAGAGAACAAGGTATTGGGAAACAGACCCCCATGCAGTGAACGTTCCAGAAAAGTTCCAAGAGTGCTCGGAAAATGCATTATTAAGGGCAGTTAACACTTGACTTGCATGATAACTTTTAAAGAAACAGATGACCAATTACAGACAAATTTCTCCACAACCTTGATATCGACAATAGAAAAGTCAGTTTGTAAAACCCAGAAGACATCTGGGAAGGGCTGAACTATGGGGATTAAATTAATCATGGTTAATAATACTTAAGTCTTTACTAAAATGCTTCCCCCTCCGCCAGTGTTCAGAAAACACTTCACAAATTTTACCGTGGTAATCCTTACAACATGACTGCAAGGTGGGCAAGCTTGATTATTCTCAGACTGGAGGAGGGTGGACAGCTGAGGCTGGAAGAATAAGTAGTTTGCTTAAGGCTATCCTTGTAGTGAAAATGTATAAATGGTGTGCTTTCTGGCTCACAGTCCTTCCTCAGCCACTAGGGTCTGTGGAAACTTTAGTGGACCTTTTTTTAATTAAAAAAAAAAGTTAAATGAGAAATATTACTCAATCAACCTGATTATTTTTTTCCCCGAAATGGCAGAGGTTATCTATGACCCCAATGAAAAATATACTTCCCCCCAACCCCTCCCGCACTGTCCTTTGCTTCAGTGTTAAAATTAAATATTCCTCAAGAGGTAGCAAAGTCGCGTGTTTCTCTGTTTGCTGTTCATTGCATAAAACTTGTATATTTAAAGTTTTTGTTTAGTTTTTAATCCAAGCAAACCAACGAATTAGCACATTTTTTTTCACAGATACTTATAAACCACCCATCATATTTATATTGAGGCAAAATAGAAAGGAAATACTTTGCTTAAAAAAAAAAAGAATCTGTCTCAGTGTCACTTGGCTACATCAATAATTTGCCTGCCACCTTTAGGTTGCTCCTCAAAGCTTTTAACTGATACACAGATGTTTGCCTTTCCAATATTCTCCCTGTCTTGCAGCAAAAACCACAAGACACCCCAGCTTTAAACACACCCCATGCACATCAGAAAAAAACGGGAAAACAAAACCAAGTCTTTCCAGATATCCAAAGACTTATTCATTCCTCCCCCTCCCAAACAGGATGGGAATTCCTAAACTCTTCCTCAAGTGGAAATCTTCTCCATCAGACATAGAGCAGCAGGTGGAGACAGATCAGAAAAAGCTAGAGAAAGAAAGCAAGAGAGAGAGGCGGGGGGGGAGAGAAAAAAAACACAGATCATCAATTAAATGCAAGGAGGGGTGGAAGAAGCATTCAAAGAACAAGCAGAGAAAAAACAGATCCCACACACAATTAAATTGAGAGAGAGAGCAAGACGACAGATGAATGGATCAATGCTTGTGCTACCATTGGGGCCCCAGACAGAGCAGCATTGATGCATCAGAAGAGTTCAAGCATGTTAAATATTTGGACACAATGCACGATACACCTTATAGTAGAGTTAGACTGTAACACACTTTTAACAAAATGCATGGAAGCACAATAAAGTATATATGGAAAGAGAGGGTTTGCTTTTCAGTGCAGTGCAAACATTTATAGGATGGTTAAGAAACAGCACAACAGCAGTCCTGTTGGCTCAGGGCACCTAGTGCAACTTTCTCTTCCCAAGAGGCACCAACCAGATGCCTCTGAGGTGAAGCCTACAAGCAGGGGCATAAAGCCAAGAGTGCTCCACTGTTTCTTTGTCACTTTCTCCCGCTGCCACAGTCAGTGGCACCCTGCACTTGAACATGGATTCATGGAGGAAGAAATCGTAAACCGCTCCCCCACCATGACATCTCCATCCTGAAAGGATACCTGGCTTCTGACCTACCTCACAAGGCTGTCATGAGGGTAAAGAGTAGGTTGCTTTGAGCTTTTTTTGGAAGAAGAGATCAATATGTAACTAAAACCAATGGACACAGCCCTTGCTTGTTTTTGTGGAGCAGCAAAAGAGCACCCTCCTACAGCAGGGAAGAGGAACCTGTGACTACAACTATCAGCCTGTACAGGCATGGCTAATAGTAAAAATAGAAATAGAAGTTGAAGTTCAACAATAAATATCTGGAATCCTCCCTAAACTTGGTTGTGACCCATGGATCAGGATTGGCCTACCTTTGACCCTGACTGGGGGGGGGGGGTTACATCACTTCTCAAGTCAGCCACTTGCAGCTGCAGGTTCATTTTTTGTTTTGTTTAACCTAACCAGGGGAACAACTGATGCTGTTAAGAGTGTTCTCTTGATTTCAACACTTCCATCCATCTGAGGCCACCAGAAAGAGGCCTCACCATGTCACAATATGGGTCTTTTGTTAAGAGTTGCACCCTTCTGTTGCATTTAAATCTCCTAACAAATTTGAAGAATATCAAACATATTTCAACAACTGGCTTAAGGGTAATAATTGTAACTTTGCAACTCCTGTGATTGGCCAATGAAGAAAGGAACCTTCTTTCAAATATTAATTGATATTCTAAGAGGTCATCTGCACATCCATACAGAACTTCTCTAAAATGCTTATTGTTCAAAATCTTGTGGAACTTCTGATCTTGCTAGGTGCCTGCCCCATAAATATATAGCTATGTGTGAGCAACACACTTGTGTCTCTGAGTACACAGCAGTTGAGGATCACATCTCAATAAGCTAACCACATCAGGTTCTACCTTACCTGTTTTTCCAAGTGATGGGACCAGCTAAATGTCCCCCAAAATATTGACACATATAATGACAATACCATTACTGTATACAGTGGTACCTCGGGTTACATACACTTCAGGTTACATACGCTTCAGGTTACAGACTCCGCTAACCCAGAAATATTACCTCAGGTTAAGAACTTTGCTTCAGGATGAGAACAGAAATCACACAGTGGCAGCGTGGTGGCAGTGGGAGGCCCCATTAGCTAAAGTGGTGCTTCAGGTTAAGAACAGTTTCAGGTTAAGAACGGACCTCCGGAACGAATTAAGTACTTAACCCAAGGTACCACTGTATAAACAATGTTTAACTGTTCTCCCCACTCCAAAACTAAAGTTAGTGATGTTGTCCTGAAACAAACAACCCACCAGTCAAAAACCAGCACTGTATTTTTGCTAGGAGAAATCAAAAGTCATTAAAACAACAGATGAAAGAACTACTATTTTGTTTGTCAGATGGAAAGGTTAAAGGATATATATATATATATATATATATATATATATATATATATATATATATAAATTTAGCAGGCCCGTTAGCATGCCCTTCTCTTTTCCCCTTCCTCTTTACACATTCACCAACAGCAGACCCTGAATTAGAATGCTGAAGAAATGGCACAGGCTCCTCCACCATTCAGAAGACATCTCATGTGAATCACTACATTCGCATGTACAGCTGATCACAGGTGCTCTTTCTGGGGCTTTTCTTAACCCCCAGAAAATGGGTATTGGCCTAAGGGCTGTCTGCACAACTGACTCCAATTTGCATGGAACACTCTCCTCCATTGGTGCAATGGAGGAGCTCTGGTGCCACCCAATCACCACATTAGTTCAGAGCTGGCCCCTGGCAAATGCATGAATTGGGGCTCAAGTCCCACAGTAAGGCAGGGCATGGGGTCTGACAACACACTTGACTAATATGGGGGCAGCCAACCTTGTGCCTTCCAGATGCTTTGGACCGCAACCCCCCATCAGCTCCAGCCAGCACAGCCAATCATCAGGGATGATGGAAGCTGGAGTCAAAAACATTTGGAAGGTACTACATCCTAAGGACTTTTGTTAAGAACATAGGGGGTCACTTGCTGGATTCAGACATTTACAAACAGGGCCTTTGCAACATCTTGACAACAGGACAAGGTCCAGCTTAGGTGTAATGAGTTAAATAAGCATAGTGTGGCATAACAAGGGCATTGATCCATGCATACAAAGGCAAGGACGACCAAGGTTCACAATGGCAGACTTTGGGGGTGAGCCAAGGCTAGCAGGTCAAAGCTTGGATGATCACAGGATGCAAAGGCCCCTGGTTTGATGGACAATGCTGCCTTTAAACAATCAGATGACTGGATGGCCTGGCAAAGAAAGGTAGAATACTTTTCCGTCAGCACAGAGGCCAAGCCAGCTGCCAGAGGATGGAAGCTAGCCTCCAACATGCTAGTAAAAATGTGTTTTATAATAGGCTAGTACCTTTGGGGTGGGGGCTTATCAACAAGGTTGGTATCCTAAAAATTCCACAGTGTCTTCAAACTCTATAGTGTTACTTTACATGGTATACAAACACACACCATTATGCAGTCAAAAATAAAATAAAAATAAATCAGATACTGATTAATGTAGAATATGCATCTAGATTAACACAATGGTGGAAGCATCATGAGAAGACCATGGCTGAACGGAAGCGTATTAAATAAGTGAAGGTCCAATTCCAGCCCCATGTACTCAAGGGAAATTACTCAGTACACAGCCATGGGTTACTGTAAAAGAAGGGCAAAAGAACAAAAAAACAAAAAAAGGATTAACCAGAATTATTGTACGAAAGAAGTTTATTCTTTTAAAAAAAGTTTTCCATAAAAAATATAGACTGTAACAAAGCAACACAAAGATAAACATTTTGTTACATTTAAGGGGACCTCAAGATTTCAGTGCAAAGATTTCACTTCTAAATAAGTACTTTGTAATCCAAGACTAATACTCTGATTCTAAGTGTACATGTTTGTCTAGAAATCCAATTAAGGATAATGGGGTCGTGCATGCAAGTTTCCAGGAGAAGGGGAGTCTACACAGAAACACTGTAATCAGATTATAGCTTCTTTTAGCTGTTTGTCTCAGAGATAGCCAACTTTTGCATCCTGAGGTGGGGGGGTAATTCCTAAGGGAGAAAGCTAAGGGACACAAGTGTATTTTACTGCTAAAGGACCTCACCCTCCCTCACAAGTAGTCTGATTCCATTGCTGAAACTGAAACTGATGCCATCAAATAGAAACAGGTGCTCAGGCAGCTGGGGTTGCTGCAAATCCAAAACAGAGATGAAATGCTGTCATGAAAGCTTCCCCACTTGTGCATTTAAGGAAGACAACCTGCTCTTTTTGGTGTTGAAGGTGACATATATGAAGTCACATCTACACTATCAACTTACATCAGTTGCATACCACCTAATCCAAAATGGCTTTCCCCTCCAAATACCTCTATTCCATATAGAACTATGGTTTCCAGGATTTATTTATTTTTTTTTGGGGGGGGGGAGAATGAATACTAAGCCAGACCATAATTTTTCTCAGTATTCTTATGCTATATTTTCCTGCTTCATTAGCTCATTTTATATTTCTTTAAACTAGGCAAATTTTAGTATTTCACAATTATCTGAACCCTTTGAACTCTCACTTTAAAAATGTAACTCTGCCCACCAAATTATAGTGAAATACATGTAAAAGACTGAAGGCTCTGAAAAAACAAATCAGATTTCCTTTTCCCAAAGGGTGAAACTTCTAAACAAAACCTTCCAGTATAAAAATAAAGCTTTCAATAAATTTTAGTAAAAATGAAGGATTTAAAAAAAAAAAAGAATATATGGTTCTTTTCAACTTTTGGGAAGGAAAAATACTTACTATTTTCCAGACTAATCATAAAGCATGAGAAGAAGTCACATTTCTAAAATATAGTCGATGTTTAAGGCGAAATACTACAAGGCGAAATACTTAAATTGAATCAGATTTAAGGGGATAGTCCTGCAATACCAGATTTGAAGCAAGCTTTATTGAAATGAAAGGGTTGCCAGTGAACAGGTTTAGGGTATGGTCTGACTTCGTATAAAGGGCCTCCCATGTCCCTAGAAAGAAAGCTGTGGGAATTCTGTTCAGATAAAATAATTCTATCCAAACCATGCTTACTAAGAAGCTGAGTTCCACTGAATTCAGCAGGACTTCTTAGTAAACATGTTATAGGGTCAGTCTAGTTACCTGGCCTAGTTCTCGATGTGAACAACAGGCCCAAGGACAGAACCTTGAAGCACCCCGCGGGTCACATTTTCCCAGGATGATAATGAACTCTTTGGGTTCCATCAGACAACCCATTTAAAGTCATATGATACTGATTAAAATGTATAGTGCAGATGGGGACTCACATCCCTGAGGCTTTTTTTTTCATCAGGCCTTTGTGACAAGTTCTGCAACTGTCAAAATGCAGCTAAAAAGGTGAGGTGTGGGAGAAGGAATCTTTTGCACACAACTTTTTTTTTTTTGCCTTTCTCAGAGAGTCTGCAACATGGCTCAGGCATTGCAGAACAAGTAGTAAGTGAACATGCTGCCCTATCATGCAGAAGCACGCATCAATGCATTAATGAGATGCTGAAAAAGAAAGTCTTAGGACATTGGTCCTGCAAGCTTCTGACTAAGACAGAAAAGTACTCAGAGCCTTTCTTATCAGCTCCACAGAAGTGACTGCCAAAGAGTTCTTCACCAAAACAGCCTCTTTTTGGTGTTTAGGAAAAAAGCAAAACAAAAGCAAAATGGGGTTTGTGTAGTGGGGAGGAGATGGGTAGGTGGGTACAGAAATGCACTGCATGTTAATTCAAAATGCGGGGTGGTCGTTTCTGGAGCAAAAGAATAGGATCTACAGGAAACCTGAACTGAAAATGGGAAAAAAAAGAAAAAGGATTAATGTTTATCTGGATTAAAAGGAAGTTAATAAAATATATAGGGGTGGGCAACATACCGTACTTTGGCCACAATGGAAACAAATGAGACATAGAGGTCGTTTGCATGGATATTACATGCAATTTGCTCACTATTACATCAACATGGTGAATTTCAATGATTGCTATATAAATTGTGATACTTCTGTTCTGAAACTGAACATGAATAATCTAAACAAGGTTGTTTGTATGTTAAATAATTGTCTTTGGAAATAAAGAAACAGCTTCAATAACAGGCAGAGATCAACAGAAAAGAATGAATTTGAGTCAGTGTTTAACTGCCTGGTTTCTGAGCCATTGAGCTCATAAAAATTGACATCACATTGTCAAGTGGACTAGATATTTAAAACTGATGTTTAAATCTGGGATTCCAAATATGCAAGCAAAAGAACACCAAAGAATCTGGGTGCCTACATTTATGTAGCCTGTGGCTGTGCACTGCCCACCCCGGTCCCTCATTTACAGAAGGGAGGGGGAAAACACACACATTAATATGGTTTTTAATTTTACTTAAACATGCTTGAAGACACAGTAGCATGAATGCAGCCTTTGAGTTCTCAGCCGATTGCAGCGGGGTTGTTCACTTAGATGCAAATTGTTTATGCTCTGGCAAAAATGAGGAAGCCACGCAAGGCTTTTCAGGCCAAATCAATACTGGAAAGTGTTTTGTGAATCGTTGAACAGGATTTTTGGCTATTGCACTTGGCAAGGACAAATGCTCCCATTCAGAAAGGGCATGTTTGCAAATTGTCTTAGGAACAAAAGAAAGAAAGAAGAAGGCCTATTTGAGCCACTGACCAGCACGCCACAGTCTTGCATATGGCGGCCTGCCAAAAACAATCCAGAGCTAACAAGAACACACAATGTTTACTCCTGCTACTCTCCAGTCCCTAGATATGTTCTCAGGCCCCATATAAAACACTCCTATTGTTTGAGCTTATTTTTTCAAGTCTTGAAGACCAAACCATTGTTTTCCCATCTCACCACTTGCGTCCCTCCCTTTTGTTCTGTATGCTTATTGTTCAGGAGAAAGCACATTTAACCCAGAATAATTCCCATTCAAATTACATACCAGGCCAGACAGGGGAAACAAAACAAACAATGGCACGAAGGCAGCTTGGATTCAAACAAGATGCCATACTGAACACAGGCACTGTTAAGAGTGCATGCTTCCTTGCTAGCAGATTGGCTGGCAGGAGGGTAAATTATTGTGGGACCCTAATGTTGACCTCTACCCAGCAACTAGTTGTGTTTTTTTAAAGGGGTCAAAACTCTGAAGCAGAGCAAGAGGGAAAAGGCAGGAAATGCTGGTTCCACGGATTGTTATATGGGCAATAGGCTTATTAATCCTTTCCTATGTGAAAAAGAGACATGTTGAAATCCCCACCGTCACCACACCACTGCACCTTAGGCTATGAAGAAGTCAAGCAAAGATAAAAAAAATGTTTAAGTAACAGGAGTACATATAAGAACTTAAAAGATAGGTTTTGTGGCTGGTTCATGCTGGACAGGAGGGGATTAAAAAGCCCTTTGTTTCTTGGAAAAAAGTGGCAGAGGCACATTATTATTATTATTATTATTATTATTATTATTATTATTATTATTTGTATATTGCCCTTCATCAGAAGATCTGAGGGCAGTTCACATAACTGGAGAGTGTGTATGTGAGGGATTGCTGGATCGACTAGAGGCCAAACTGCTGGTTCAGAATACATTGTGTCTGTTTGCACAAAGTGCCCATTCGGATCCCACTGCAATGGCTATTTCATTTAGTCAAGCTTACCAGCACAACGTGCCCTCATGCACCATGCAGCAAACGGCAGGGTTAACTGTAAAAATAGCATACAAATGGCAACTAAGGAAGATGAAGGCAACTGAGTGCACCAAAAACGAAAATGAAAGTGGGGTGGTAGTGATCAGAACTTGATTTTACACCCTGTATTTTTTTAAAAGGAAAAAAAACCTGACATAAAAGCAACTTGCAGGGCTTGTTCATGAGCTACATGTGTAAACTGCTCCAAATTTAAAATATGACAACTCGAGCAATGTTCAAATTAGGGGGAGGAATGATCCCTCTTAACTTCTGGCACCATTTAGAAGACTAAGAGGATAGATTTTACCAGGCAAGGTTGGAGACTCTGTGGCCCTCCACATGTTGCTGGACTCTTAACTTCCATCAGTCCTGGTCAGCATGGCCAGTGGTAAAGTAATGATGTGTACTGCAATCCATCAACATCTGGAGGGCCACAGGTTCCCCTCCTCTTTTTTAAAGGCTCCCTACCTTTGTCCCTGTAATTCAAGCACTGGAATGGAGCAACGTACCTAAGCCTAAAGTTCTGAAGTTGAAGGCTAGATGATGAAGTGTTGCTCTATCCCTCCACGTCTGTGATGAAAGCCCTATATGCCTGCCATTGGTGATGACAAGCGGCAACCAGTTCAATTTGATACAAAAGTGAAAATAAAGGATGTGCCAAAAAGGTTAGGATCCCTGCCAATGGGGTGAGCTGATTAAGGTGCAGACACTGCTGCCCCATGGAATAATTAAAATGTGGCCTCTGTACAGCAGTCAGCATATAAAAAAACAACTTGTTGTCAGGCGATTCCTGCCTGCTAGCACAGGCCGAGACGTGCTATAGGAATAGGTTTTCCTGATAGGCCTTTCATTTGTCTAGCTTTTGCCAGCATGAAATCAAGGTGGGCCAAAGACTTGTGGGGCAGGGGAAACACTTTTAGCGACAACTGTTTGAGGTAGAACATTGTAGTCTCCTACCATACTGTCCCAAGCCCTTGCCTGTACTCAGGCCAGGGTCTGAGCAAAGGGCTTACAAAAGCCAAGGCAAGGGCGGTGGTGGGAGAAAATGATGAGGCAAAATGCCACCCAACTGAAAGCCAACTTACTTCTTCCTCTCCTTGTCCCTTTTCAGAGTTTGCGAGCCTCCTGCCTGCTGAGCCTGAGACTGGAGTAATTCGGCCGCCGTCTTCCTCTGCTTAAATGCGTTGACTTCGTCATCCAGGGATTTCTTCTTGTCCTCCACTTTCTTCTTTTCGTCCTGGTGCAGCTTCTTCAGGCGGTCAAATTTCTCATGCAACTGGAATGGAAGCCCAGGGTAAAAATATGCATGAGTGCAAAAACAGGGCGCTGGGGGATAGATGCTTGGCATAAGAGATTTCAAAGCTATGCTGCAGGGAGCCTTCAGGTTCCTCATAAACTTACCACGGGGATCCTAAAAAGGAAATCAGCGATGATGTCCCTGAAAGACAGCTTGCCCACTGCTATTGCTTTCCCTACAGAATGCAAAGCCACAATGGAGTGCTGAGGGTGTTTCTAGGATATACTCTGCACAAGGCAACCACAAGACCTAGTAATTCTGCAACCACTGCTATTCATGAAGAGACTGTACACCCAAGAATATGCTCCCAAAGCCAATGCACTGCTTGCAGGAGTTTGGAGAAGCAAGTCAATGCCTATGTTCACACATTGCAGTAAGCCATAAGCTGGGGTGTGGGATCTTTTGGGCCTGGTGGATCATATCATTATCTGGCCCCACCCCTGCAGGCCAACTTAGGCAGGTGGGCGAGAGGACAAACCAATCAGCTGACAGGTGCATTGTCCTGCCCACCTGTCAAAGTCCCTTTTGCTATGCTAAATGGCTGTTGGGTGCTTGGGAACCACAGAAGAAGGGGCTTTGCCAACCCTATGCTCAACAAAGCACCAAGCAGAGGGCTGGCACAGCTGCTTTCTGCAGGGATTGGCTTCATGGTTGAGTTCTCCATGGAGAACTCAGTCATGCAGCCAATCCAGCAGTGTGAATGACTATACTGTGATACGCTGTGCAACTGAGACTCTGTTGGGCAGCCAATCCATACATGTTCCAACCTGCTCCATAACTGATGTCACATACGATATTAGGTGGGTTATTTGGGAGAAGTGGTTTTGTGGACCAAGCTGTGACCCATAGTGGGCCAAATTTGGCCCACAAGGCAGAGATTCCCCACTTCTGTCACAACCATGGCTTGCTTACTATGCACAAGTGAAGTCATGCCTGCTTTGCTGCTCTCAGCTCATACCGAGAGGAAACAATTCACAAACCCTAACTTAGTTACATCTGAACTAGGAATCATGGTTTGTTTCATCCCCAGCCAACCACAATCTGTAGCTGAGGATTGTTCTTAGATTACAGACTGTGATTTCTTGGGAGCAAAAGCACGTACCACATGATCACAAGTTCAAACAAAATGCTATGCCAGAGACCAGGGTATGTTTCTTTCCAGTACAAGACAGGAAAAGCAAAGCAGGTAGACAATGAGAAAGGGGTTTTGTAGCAAGATCGAGAGGAAAATCAGGAGAAGATGCATGTAGTATTATAAGGATGTGAGAGGGTGAGCAAATAGCCCTGCTTTCTAAATCAGAATTTATTCAACCCATTGAATACCTATTTCTTCCTATTGCTGCCACTGATATAGTGTTTATTTTTTCCTTTGCTTACTCTCTGCCCCCCTCCCCCACACAAACTAAATTAGACATAACTGAAGACACAACATATTTATAGTGGGGGGTGGTCTTCCAGGAATCTGCTGCTAGATCCTTGCCTGGGAGACTCCCAAAACACTGGTTACATGGATAAATTTTCAGTTGTTAACTTTAAAATACACAAGCTTGCCATGGTGTGGAAGTGAACCAACAAATGTGAGATGATAAAATAGTGCTAGTTTTATTACACCAATAAAAAAAACATTATGTGATTGATATAGAATACATTTTATATTAATTTTGTTTGATTTGTATATTTTATAATAAAAAGAAAAATTTAGCACTAGTTAGCCTTGATTAATCTGCAGAAATAAACCTCCCTGGTTATAGTTAACCTGAACAACACACACAGTTTAAGCCAAAAATCAGAGAACACAGTCAATAAAAGTTATCACGTTAACCTCTTTTTCAGCCTCTTTCAATTCCGCTTCTTTCTCCTTAACTCTCTGCACAAACATTTGCCGCATTTCCTCCTCCTTTTTCTGCAGCTCTCCCAGGAACTCGTTCCTTTTGGCCTCGTAAGTTTCTTGTAAACTAAGGTGACAGGATGGAGGATGAGGAGATAAAAGAAACATTTCAGAGAGATACAGAACAGGGAAAGCAAAAGGATAAAATTTTGTTTCCCACTCACGCAACCAGAAACCTACTAATGCCGTGAGAGTCTACAAATATACATTGCTGTGATAATGCTGAACTGTGTGAAACAGGACCTCAAATCTCAAAACGCCATGTCTTAGGTTTTTGTTAAAATTAAATGCTGCACGTTTCTAGACTTCAAGGTTGAAAAGGGGAAACTTTAAAAACCTTTGGTAAACTGAGGCTGGTAAGTTTCTTCTCACTGCAACAAACCTCCTTGTGTCAAGAATGAAATAATCTTTCAATAATCAAATTCCCTCTGAGGGAATCTAAAGTTCTGTGTTCAGAAAGGAAGGTTGAGTAACTCTCTTGCCTATTTGCTGTGCACAATATATTATCCTTCAATTGTTTGCAGCTTCAAATTATTTTAAGGTGTTTTTAAGATTGAGACAGCATAGATGGAAGAGATTTTAAGGACGTGGAGAGATCAGAAACCATGCAAGGAATGGCACATGGCACTGAAGCTTTTTTCTACACACTGTCCATATATGTTTCCAAACACTTCACTAAAGCCATGAGGACTAGAAACAAAATTTTCAAAAACATGACATGAGATTCTTTGAAAGCCAAAATTTGGTACAGGACATGTGTTCCAGACACACACTACTAGACCCAAAATTTAGTGTTCCTCACGGTGTTCCATGGCCAATTAACAAAGCGTTGGCACTGTTCATTTAATATTTTCTAAGTGGACAAGTGTTCCTTTCAAGTCATGTCTCACCAATGCCTAGTAATAATATTCTGGTGAAATACAGGCGTCCCCCCACTTACGCGGGGGTTACGTTCCCAGATGCTGTGCGTATATGTGAAATAGCGTAAAGTGGGGAGGTCGCTGTTGAGAGAGGCTGGGAAGTGGCTCTCTCAGCAAATCCCATCCATCACACCCACCTTCCCTGGGTGGCGATGAGCCCTTGCACATGCATGTGTGTGACCTGGCTGCCTCCAGTGACTGGAAGATTAAGCTAGAGGTCAGTGGGTCCAATGGGCCATTGGCTGGGTGGCTCCCAGTGCCCAGTGCCACTGCAGGGCCTCTCAGCACTCTCCCTGTTAAGTCTTGGAAGCTGCTGGAGACCTTTTTCCCCCCCCGCCATCCCCCACCCAATAAATAACGTTGCTGCTTGCTTTTGGGGCAGCAGCAATCGGAGGGCAGAGGGTCTCTCAGATCCTACCCAAGGAACAAAACTGATAAAAGAGAACAAGCAAAGGGATGGACAGGTTGGGTAGAGAGTGATGGCTCTGCAGGCCAAGGAAGAAGAAAGTCAAGGAGGATGAATGAGTGGGGGCAATGAGACACTCTGAGCAGCCATGCAAGCTGTCCCCCCTCCCCACACTCTCCAGCTCTGTCCTGCTATTTTCACACTGTTTTGGATCCATTTTCTGGTTCAAGTTATTTATTTATTTCGCTGCTGCGCGTAAACGCGGCTGCACACGAGTGGAATGGCCGTAAGTGGGGGGATGCCTGTATACCTGAATGGCTTGCTGTCTGGATCAGTGTCCTTAAATCCCATTTCCTCCAGTTTACATCGCCGGTACAACTCGTAATGGCGCGTGTGTGTCTGTTCACGGAGATCCTCCATGTTGACACGGATCAACATCTCTCTTAGCTTCACAAAGTCACAGTGCGCTTCGTTTTCCACTGTTCATGGTAAAAAGAGGAAGGGCCACTTGAATGCAGGCGGCTCTAAGTATGTGTTACACAGAGTCCTCCATAGATAAGGAAACAAGAAGTTTGAACCTTCCCTTGAGGGAAAAAAGAACTGGCACAATGAAGCCTATACAGTGCTCCAAAAAAACAAAAACAAAACAAAAACCCAAGCCAGGAACTTGGAGAAAACATGGAAAGGTGGTAAAAGTTGGATAGAGGAACAGGGAGGAAATGGTATATAAAGGCCGTAATATTTCAAAACATTCTTAGACATAAACAGATTATTACTCCAGACAAGTCTACCCACCCACAGTAAACCCCAGAAAAGTGTCCTCTCTCAGTTCAGCTCTTACTGGCACTTATTTTCAGCAGTATTCACTATGGGTGTTCTCCATAACATCACCTACATTAGCAGTACCCTGTAAGACAGCTAGATGGATTTAGCTTAAGGTAAGTACAACTAAAACATTGGCAATGACTAGGTGGCTGCTAGTACGTCATCAGAAAATGAGAAGAGGGAGCACGTATGTACTGATAATTTATATGTGCAAATTTAGAAAGAATTGCTATAATTCAAATAGAAATACATCTCACAGCAACCTAGTGACCTGTGTCTGCTAACTACTGGTGAGCAACCTCAAGGTCTCCTCTGCTCATCTTTCTTATAGCTATTTATCTTTAAACTGAGGGCTGCAAAGCAGCTCCCACTGCTACCTAGCAACGGCTCCCAAATATTTGGGAAACCAAGGATGAACCAGAACCACGTCAGGAGAGGATTTCATCTTGGCTAAGACTGGTGCAGCAGTCGCTCTGCTCTGTTATTCATCCAAATGTAAAAAGAGAATTCTGGCTTCCCAGTTTTGTACTGTGCTTGGCCAGCATGCTGCCACCCAATCACAGGGGTTAATGGTGTGGAAATGCTATATATAAGTCCTTGTAGTTTACTAGATGTTGAAGCTCTGGCCTGGAGTAATTTCTCATCGTTGCCAGATGTGTAGGGCCTGGCTGTGGTAGCCATGCTTAAGGAAATCATTGTTAGTTAGGGAATGGCATACTCTAACATGCTAGGCCCGGCCCCGTATTTCCAGGGTTAGCCACAGAAATAAAGGTTGAAGTGACATGCTACAACACTTTATCCCCATCTGATACTGAACTGGTTTTCCACACCATCTTCCAATGCAAAGAATAAACCATTTTCACTCACAGGGTTGCCATGGGGATGAAGAAATGCTATTTTGTTCCCACACAGAATTGCGGGCCAGTGGGTGCTTTCATTTTTTTATGGGAAAGTACAGCTGGCTGCCAGTCATCTATTCATATAGGCATTTACGCAGTACACATAAAAACACTTCGATCTTTTCCATTTGCGTATTTCGAACCTTTTCCTATCTCTGTGGAGTGAGGCTTAGATAACATAGCAGGGGATAAGGCCTGTATGTATGTAGCATTGTGGGGAATTACCCACCAGAGGTTCAAGAAACATTGCATCGCTTTTGTGAGGCCGGAATCCAGAAGTGAGGCCCAGAAAAAAAAAAAAAGCATCCACTTGATCAGGATTTTTCCATTTATTCCATACTCGAGTATTGAGGTGCAGCAAACAAGCAATCTGGGAACCTAGCAAGAAAATGGCTGGACTACAAACAAAGGGCTCTGGGGTTTTCTATATTCATTTTAAAACAAACAGAATTTTACTGGCAGGAGGGGCTACCTGTCTGCCTCGTGAACATCATCCCACCAACTACAATTCTGGCTGGACCTGTTTTTCCCCCAGATGTCTCTAATTCCTGCTACTTTTACTTAGGTTCATTGTTCTGCACACATCAATAGCAACTCTGGTCTGGGTAAAAACGCCACCTCAGCCAGAGCCATCACTTACCCTGCACCGTCCCCCAGGGATACTGCCGGGCCTTCATCATTTTGTTCCCTATCTTGATTTCTTCTGTGCTGCCAATCACGGCGAAAGGTAAGTGGGCCTAAAACGGAAGCAATTCAAACAATGATCATAAGGAACACAGCATACCTTTTAATTTCTTTTTATTATTATTTTAGAACTTGTGAAGGTGGTTTCATTGCTTTTAGAGTTTGTTGAAACGATTTTGTTGGGGTTTCCCCACCCCTGAACTGGATGGTGGTTGTTTTAAATCTTGTACTCCTTGCAGGTAAATGTGTTAAATAACAAGGGTGGTATTCAAGGCTAGCCCTACTCAGAGAAGACCCACTGAAGTTAGTGGGCATGACTAGCTTAGGTTCGTTAATTTCAGTGAGCTTGCTCTGAGTAGGACTTGGATGAATACCACCCCCCATATCTACAGCCGTTTTCCAGAATGTTCAAAGCGTTTGACAATAAACCTGAAAAGGCAAAGAGAGCACACTAGGATCCTGTTGTGATCCTTCCCAGTCTTTCTCATGAAGGATTTGGATAATTACTAAACCGCACACAACCCAAAATATTTTATGGTTTGTTATTTATATGGTGCTATTAGCCAGGAGGGTACTTTTTACAAAGCACAGTAGCATTAGGTCCCTTCCCCCAAGGAGCTTACAATCTAAAATTCTCCACGGCAGAACCAACAGAAGGAAGGAAGTGAAGAGAGAGGACAGGAGGGAAAGAATGTGTGATTGATTCTGTTACAAGTGCTTAGGCACAGTTACCACAGATTATGAGAGGAGGGGTTCTGCCTAAAGCATAGCGGAAAACAGGAGTTTTTAGATTACCCCTTGTTCTTTCATTTAAAGTACGGAGACATGATCATTTTATACTCTGAAGCCATCAATGGGACAGAAAAGCAAGAAAAATTCATAGGAAGCTGCTTTATACTGAGTCAGTTACTAGTTGGTCCATCTAGTTTAGCATTGCCTGCACTGACTGGCAGCATCTCTCCAGATGCTCTAGACCTGAGCTCCAGCCCTTTATCCAGTAGGACTGGATTTATAGCTCTGGCTAGTGCTGCTTCTTAGGGACGCAGGTAGTGCTGTGGGTTAAACCACAGAGCCTAGGACTTGCTGATCAGAAGGCCAGCGGTTCGAATCCCCGCGATGGGGTGAGCTCCCATTGCTCGGTCCCTGCTCCTGCTGGCCACATGACCCGGAAGCTGTACGCCGGCTCCCTTGGCCGATAAAGCGAGATGAGCACCGCAACCTCAGAGTTGTCTGCGACTAGACCTAATGGTCAGGGGTCCCTTTGCCTTTTTAGTGCTGCTTCTTACTGGGGCAGGTGCCTCTCTCCCAGAAAAACCTGATAGGTGAAAAGCAGCATTGCACCTTATGCACTCAAATTCCTGATCAGTTAAATACTAGAAATCCTGCCATGCGTCTTCTCCAGCTGCAGGTTTTGATACAGCAGGTCTGGCAAAGTCAGACACACTCAGGAACAACGGACCTTTCCATGTATGACAAGATTTACATTAAACAAAACCAACCCTGAATGTGTTATAGACGGCCTTTTCGTTCTTTCATTTCAAAATCATCCTTACACACAAGCGGATCACGCAATAGATATTTATACACAAGCAGATCACAATTCTAGGTTTGGAAAAGAAAAAAAGCGCCAAGCACAGGAACAGCATGGCTCCCCAGCCACGAGAAACACACGCCTCCACCCTACAGGAAATGAATGGGAAATGCTATTACTTGCAGCACTGCACAGCAAGAACCAGGGATGGCTGCCAGAAAAAGAAACACATTTCGAAAAGCAGCAGGGGCGGTAGGAGATATAAGGTTGTGTTAGTGACTGAAAAAGTGATCCCTTGAGAAAATATCTACAAGGCTGGGTTTTGTGCATAGCTACACACTTGCTGAATGCAACTGTGACAATAATACTACAGCTGCACATTATAAAAAAAAATTGTTTCTATGCTATTTTGGTGAGACTCAGCATAATGCATGTGGGCAGGGCTGCAGAGCACTTAATACTTTTCTCATTCATCCCCTCAACCTACTCCCTGTATATCCATTTATAAAACGGGAAGTCTGTGCACAGAATAAAGGTAAAGGGACCCCTGACCATTAGGTTCAGTCGTGGCTGACTCTGGGATTGCAGCGCTCATCTTGCTTTACTGGCCGAGGGAGCCGGCGTACAGCTTCCGGGTCATGTGGCTAGCGTGACTAAGCCGCTTCTGGCGAACCAGAGCAGCGCACGGAAACACTGTTTACCTTCCTGCCGGAGTGGTACCTATTTATCTACTTGCACTTTGATGTGCTTTTGAACTGCTAGGTGGGCAGGAGCAGGGACTGAGCAACAGGAGCTCACCCCGCTGCGTGGATTCAAACCGCCAACCTTCTGATCGGCAAGTCCTAGGCTCTGTGGTTTAACCCACAGCGCCACCTGCGTCCCTTGTGCAGAGAATAGGAGGGTGCTAAATTGGGCAGCTCAGGTGGGGTAAGAGCAACTCCGCCCCCACCCGCAAGAGTTGTGTTCAGGCCCCTCCCTTCCAACTGGTATGCAGATGAGAGATGCAATCTCAAGTCTCCTAAAATCAGTGGTAGCAGAGAGAGACATGCAGGCACCAGCTCTCACCCACTCCAGCAGTAAATTGGGGGGGGGGCTGCCCTTTGCAAACCAAAAGCATTGTGAGGGGAGAGTGAATTGGGATAATTTGAAGAACTAAATCCAGGAGAGAATGTGTCAGCTTCTAACTGACACACTAATTCCAAAAGAATGTGAATTTTCACAGGTCCCTGACTTGTAATTCTTATTTCAGTCATGCATATCGAAGTCATCAATGTGCTACTCAGCGTGTTTCGTGGCTGATGTGTCAGGCCACAGTTCAAACACTCCTCTCACCAGATCAGGGTTTTCCAAACTTGGGTTTCCAGCTTTTTTTTGGACTACAATTCCCATCATCCATGACCACTGGTCCTACTAGCTAGAGATGGTGGGAGTTGTAGTCCAAAAACAGCTGGAGACCCAAGTTTGGGGAAAGCCTGCACTAGGGTTATACTTATGTGTGGACTACATGCTATCTATGGAATAGGATATACAGAACTCTAGTGTTGTCAGGGTGGTTTTGGTTTTTTGTGTAAGAAGGTAGCAAGCTGCTAGTCCCTATGGCTTAAAGGGTGCCAAAGAGGTTTTGGATAAGCTTAACCATGAACAAGGAGCACTTCTTCCATGCAGTACCTTAGCGAAAAACCCTGGTGTGCTCTCAGCTTCAGGGCAAGTTCTTTTTAGCTAATGTAGCTTGTGGACTTTGCTGGACTCCCTGCACTTCATTCCACCAGGGTTCATCTGACTGAGGCAATAGCCATGTTCGCACATGCCCCAAATCCTGGTTTAATATGCCAGGGTATGTACTTAAATTTTGGGCTAAATGTTGCATGAGAGTACAGCTGGTGCCTATGAAAGTAAAGCCAACAAATCTCTCACACTGCAGTCAAGAAAAATGTTCTGCCCACCAGGTTATTTCAGCTGCTGAAAGATTTGTTTTTCACTATCACATCGCTCTTGGCTGAGACAATATGGGTGCACTTTCATAAAATGCACCCCACACTCTATATGTAAAAATAAGAACGGCAGCATTTATATTGTGCCTTTTGAACATTTGAAGTGCTTAGTGTACATCATCAAGGAAATCATAACAACAGCCCTATAAAATGGCAGGCTGGTATTTTTACCCCTGTTTTGCAAACGTAAGAGACAGAAGGAAATTTGCCCAGAATATACTATAGCATCTGGCATTATTGCCTTACATTCATAGTCCCGTTTATCTCTGCCACGGACTCGTCATCTGTAGGGAACTGATAGATCTGCACCCCGTTGCTGACAAGCTCACTTGTGATCTTAATCTTGAATTTCGTCAGCTCGCTTTTGGAAATGGCATCGGATTTGGCGATAATAGGAATGATATTTACCTGTGGAGAAACCAAGAAACAAAAGGGGGGAGGGGAGGGCTTTGAATGTTTAAAGTTGCCCTAAGTTTCTCATTGAACATATGAAACGACCTTGCACTGAACAACCTTACACTTAGCCCATTAATGTCCACTCTGAAAATAAGTAGCTACGGTCTCAGGTAGGGAGACGATATTTGAATTACCTGCTGCCTGATCTTTCTTAACTGGTGATGGCAGGGACCTGGGACCTTCAGCATGCAGAGCACCTGGTCTGCCACTGAGCTTTGGCCCATCCCCAAAGTATAGGAAACAACATGGTAGATGTGAAATAGAAGGAAGCAATTTGTAGTTGAGCTGAGACGAGAATAACGACCAATGACATTTCCCCTCTGGGTGTCAACCTGACTCCTACCTTGCTATCGAGCTTTTTCATTGTTACCAAATCCAGGGATTTCAAAGAGTGGCCCGTGGGGGCAATGAAGTACAAGCAGGCATGGATGCGGGAGTCATGGTAGTTATGTAGCACCCGCTTGATCTTCAGTTCCTCTTGCAGGTAAGATTCGAACTGGGCATCAATGAATTCCACAATAGATTTATAGCTTTACAAGAAAGAAAGAGGGAGAAAACATGGAACATGTTGTCATAAGTGAAATCGTCCAACGCTTCAAGCATTAAAGAAGCAAAAGTTTCTTCCTAATTTATGTAACCACACAAAGCCTTTCATGAAAAGCAATGTCTTCCCCTCAAAGCCATCCTTGAGTCAACCAGGGTCATTCCGATGAGCAAACATATCTCCACAGAGTCAATTCAGACAATACAATGGAGGTCAACTTGCAAAGTAAAGTAAAGCAAAGCAAAGTGAAACAAAACAAAACAATCATGCTCATAACACTACTATTACTACTACATGGTGAGTCTTTTAAAGGAGACCCCATGGAACATGTGTACTCTGTATCTAGGGGGCTCTTTTAAAGGACTCACCCTGTAACAGTGGTCTGCTCCATCTGAGCAATGTAGAACCACAAAAAACCCTAATGGAAGAGGATCGCCACTGTGTATTTTGCAAGCTGGAAAAAGTTGGTGACTTTGGGGCAGTTCATAGACATGAAGTTGTATCATACAAACTGACAGACTGGTTCATTTAGCCCAGCGTTCACTAACCTGGCGCTCATTCTGGTTGGGGCTGATGGGAGCTGTAATCCCAAAACATCTGGAGAGAACCAGGTTGGTGAAGCCTGATCTAGCCAACTTGTCTGATATAACACAGATTCCTAGATCTTTCCCCCAATTGGCTACTAACCTATATTCAGAGCTGACAATCATTGACTGTTAGACAGGCAATAAAGTGGGGGCGGGGGTGGGAGGACGACCTGATTTCCATTTAATCAAGAACAAACTTTTGCTTACCTGTCCTCTTTGTTAATCTGATCTCCAAAGCCCACTGTGCTAACAATGGTCAATTTCAGATGGACATTGCTTTCCTGGAGATCGTAAGTACTGGATTTCAGCTGAACTCCTGGCTGCGAATGAGAGGCTGGCTCACCTTCAAACTTGGTATTGAAAAGGGTATCCATCAACGTTGATTTCCCAAGCCCTGTTTCTCCTTTGGGGAAGGGGGGGAGGGAAGCAACATGTTTTACAAGAAATTAAAAATACACAGTGCCTCATTTTGGGCCTGTAGTTAGTTAAGAAAGTTGAACATTAAACAACAGAGTCAGAACAGTGCTGATGAAAATTGTTTATTTTTGTCTTATGTATTTAGAACCCTACTTTCCCATTGTCTGTATTCAAAGCAAATAACAAATAACAATTAAAAATCATCATCAAACAAATCGAAGACCCATAAAATCCACTGGAAAGCAGCAGAAAACATAAATCCTCAAACTGCTCAAACAGTGAAGCACACACACACAGCTTTTCAAAAGAATTCAGACTAGGCAGTAGGAGACAATAGAATAGTTTGCTCAGGGTTGTTTCTAAAAATACAAAGATAAAAATAAAGTACCATAAAAAGACAGTATACATTAATTTTAAAAGATTCTGGAAAGAATGAATGTTTTTTTATCATGTTAGTCCTGCACATTTCAGCTCAGGTGAGCCTTCTTTAGAGTCATAAATCACTAGTTGTTTTATCTACGGCTCAAAGACCATCCATCCTACAGGCAGAATATCTCCGCCTGGAAGGACAAGAATATTTTCACAGCCCAGTTAAAACCCATAAGAGAAAGGGCCAACTATCTCTAAGAAAGAAGTAACATGACACCCATTTATATAATGTGTGATATTCGCCCACCAACTGCTCATCTGTCTTTTTAGACAGGCATCATTCTCTGAACTGAGGTAAATTATCCTCAACATGTAATTGTTTAACACTGCCTACACATGTGAAATATCTTCTTCTTCTTTTTTAACATTATGCCTTCATTTACGACGATTTCATCAAACGGGATGTTTTATAGCTCGTCTCACATGGATATAACTTGTTTAGTATTTCTCTTGATATTCAAAATTAATTAAAACATTAGTAATAAAAGGGAGAGACGGCCAACTGGTCAGAATTGGAGCAGAAGAACAATCCAATTGAAAAGCTGATAAATTAAAGCTGATACTTCAAGTGTATGGTGGTTTAAAAAATAAAAGTCTTGCTGTATATTTTCTCATCCTTTATTTTATCTAGCTGCGGTTCCATTTCAGGTGTTGTTGTTGTTTTTTTTAAAAAAAGCATTTGGATTTTGCAAAGGTGTACATAAGCATCATTTGTAGCAGCAATCTAAATGTGTGTATAAGGCTCTCCATCAAAATCTAGCTACATCAACCAAGTGCAATGTTACAACTCACTGCTGATCTGTCTCCAGCCTTTCTTTCCTTTTAGTAGTACATTAATGCACTGACACACATTTCCTGCATCACAGACTAGGAAAGCATTTGCCCTCAGGGGATGGGGGAAGGCAGGGAAACCTAAGCCATTACAAGAGAAAATGCCTTTTAGTCCATTAAAAAAAAATCCATCCACTTTTAGCAGGCAGATCTTTTTTTTTTTAAGGAGAGTGAATTCCCAGATTCCCAGCTTTCATTTTAAAAAAACCAATACATTTTTAGCATTTGTATAACCTGAGATAACAGGCAAAGCGTTCAGACCCTGTTCTTCTCATTTGCTTGTGTGTGATAAACCAGCCCACTCCCTTCTTTCAGTGATTTATTTTGCTTGCTCCTTGGTAAAATTATTGCAGATACCCATGGTTGTGCACCTCTTTAGTTTTGGGTTACCGCTGCAGTGTGAGTGTACTGCCTTGAAATCACTACCTTGGAGCCAAATGTCATGTTGCCGTGGTAACCTAGATAGTATCAGGTAGGGCAGGATGGGGAACTGTTTTTCAGTCAAAGGCCACATTCCCTCAAGGGAGGGGGGGCGGAATCCGTTGAGGGCTGTATGCTGGGGGTGGTGTGGCTGAAGAATGGTGAACCTAGCTCACTATTACTTCAGGTAGTTGAGGACGATTCTCAGGACATTATCGAAACTATAAAACCTGCATTGTTTTGGTACCACTTTTGATGGCCATGGCTTCATACAACACATTCTGAGAATTATACCTTCAATAAGGGGGACTGATGATGGGGGTGGTGTGGCTGAAGGCCTTGGAGCCAGAACCAAAAGTAAACAGGACATCCACTTTTCTCACTTTCTGCCACCCTACTTTCTCTCTTGACACTTCCTTCCACCCGTTTCCCCCACCCTCCGGAAACTAGGCTGCAGGGACTCAGGTAGACCTGAGGCTGTAGGTTTCCACCATTGATGCAAGTCACAAGTTAGTCCACTGAGCTACTCCAAAGGAGGTATGGTCCTGGTGAGGGAAGCAGCAGTGTGTCGTGTGCAAGGCCCATACAATATGGTGCTTCCATAGATTGCCATGGCAGCATGATCACATGTATGAACTGGGGCCAAGTTCTTTACCACACAAGAGCCACCCCACTGAAAAGTGGAGCTCATCCTGACATAATTACCAGCGCTCACCACATGATGGCACATTCAGTTCACCATGGTGAACCTGGCTCGCCATTACCTCCGATAGTTGAGGATGATTCTCAGGACATTATCGGAACTATAAAACTTGCATTGTTTTTGTACTACTTTTGACGGCCATGGCTTCACGCAACACATTCTGAGAATTATACCTTCAGTAAGGGGCACTGATAATTCTCTGTTAATAGATCCCTACAGTCTAGCTTGCTGGCAGTTCCTAGAGCAAAGCAAGTGAGCATCCAACCAAAATTTTCCTCTCTTACCACCTAAAGCAAGAGTGTGGCGCCAATGGGCACTACCTATGGGCCCTCCCAATTTGGGCCTGCCATAAAAGACTTGGCTGTCCCACCCCTAGCTCATATTTGTCGCAAGCATCCAGTATTCTGAGGTATACTGCATGATCCCAGGTATGAGACAACGTGGCTGTAAAGACAGCATTTGCGAGTAGTATCTGTATGAAGTGCAATGGAAGATGTCTACCATCTTTCTCTGTGAACATGGATAGGAAAGCTTTCTGCCCAAAAGCTAGGTATTTCCCAGTCAGCGGTAACAATTCTGGGTGAGACAGGACATTGACCCAGCAATTTAAGTGGCTTTCCTGCTCCCTTTCTGAGCTAAGCATTTCCCCCCCTGTAAAAGCACCTTGCATTAAAGAACCAGAGACTGCCAATTATTGTCCATTTGGAGGCATAATTATCTAACTACAACCAAGGCTGAAGCCGTCTCCAAGTAGTAATGGCAGAAAAGGAGAAGGGTGCTGCCACGGCATTTAAAATGCTCTGGGTCAAGGAAACCTTTGCAGGCCTGCCCCCCCCCCAGCCCCATATCAAAATATGTTTACTTTCAGAGGTAAATATTTCATGGCCCACAGCACATGATCAGTCCAGACCAAAGTACCACCATTTGATGAGGAGCAACATGGGAGGTACTTTCTGGAATGGAAGACTAGACGTAATTTCTAAAACACATGCAGGGCCTCCAGATACAAATCCAGGCTTTCAAATAACCAGCTTACCTGACCACTGACCCAGCATTGGTACTGTGTAAGTGGCTAAGAGACTGGACCCAGTTCAAACATCACCAATGAACGGTAATCAAGCATTGCACATGGATGTGTAAACCAGCTCCAGGAAGCTGTTCTTCCTAATGTCTGCGAAAATGCTAGCTGTAGTTTCCACCCCACACCAATGAGCACTCTGTGTGTGGTCAAAGGTACTATCCTTTTCGTGACTGCATATGCTTTGGGGCTAAAGCCCTGGGTTAACCCCATATTGGGCCTCTTTACAGTGCTGGGAACACAACAGCAGCATAGATGGCATGGATGCCTGCCATCAGTCTCAGGAGATACACCATGTGCCTGACTATGCCAATCCTAAATTAGAATCTCTTTCTGCCTTTTAAAGAAAAGTATCAGCTGGCTCAGACATTCTTTCCCACCAACTATAGTGAACCTTGTCTCTTTGGGCCAGATTTAATTCAGGGATATATCTAGCTATAAATAAGTATTTTTATTGTTTAAGAGAACACCCCACGCTGTGCTAAAAAAAACACCCCTGTCATCACTAAAGGCCATTAAAAACACAGTTTTAATTAAAACTGGCATGTGAGTTGGGGACACACACACATAAACAGCAAACATTTAAACTACAAGAAATGAAGCAAATCATGATTCCTATGCACTGCTTAGAATTGCTAATGATTGCGCCCTATAGAAAAGCCTCAAATAAATAAATCTTTAAAACATTTCGGGGAAACAGTTAAATGGACATTCCATAAAGAGCCTGAAGTTATGATCACAGCACTAAGAACTGAAGCACTACAAGCGGGTGACATCTGTGCAAACATGGAAAGAGACAATATCCCACCATCCAGTGTGACACTTGGACTAGATCAGTCTTCTCAACCTGGTGCTCTTTGGGATGTTTTGGACCACAGTTCCCATCAGCTTCAGGACCATATGGCTGGGCTGGCTAGGCTGAAAGGAGATGTGGTCCAAAATATCCTAAAGGGCACCAGGTTGGAGAAAGTTGATGGTTTGTTTTTCTTGGCCCCAGACTGGAACTGTAGTATGTGGGGTCGGATTTGACTACACCCCTGTGCCGTTTTCATGCTGAAATTCCTCTCCCCAAAACTAACCACACTTAAACGGTGCCAACTGCAGTGAATGATACCTGCAGGGCAAAGAGCAGCAGGAAAATGGCACAGAAGGCAGGAGAAAGCCGCCAATACCTTGTGTCTTCCTGCACACTATTCTCATGAAACTAAAGCACCTTGCATTTTCAGTATTCTTAAATGCTTAGCCCTGGAGCATACAGTGGCTAAAAAACTCCCCTTTTCCACTGTTAGGGTGACTCTAGGACACTGTACACAGGGACCCCGCTTCAGAAATAGTAACGAGTCTTCGACTCCCTGCTACCCCAGACACTACTGGGAGCCATTGCTTCTTTGTCCTTGGTGCAACTAAAGCAGTGAGGCACAACCTGAGCTAATTTGTCTGCAAAGAGCTTCACTAAATGCCATTTTAAGATTGAAATAGACTGCAGTCTGGGCTTCCATCTCATCTGCTACCAGCCTTCCTACCC